GGGGCCGCGCCCGCCGGCCCTGACCCCGCTCCGCTCCCAGCGCGTCTCCGTGTTCCGCAGGCGCCGTGACAGAAGTCAAAACGGACATCTACGTGACCAGCTTTGGGCCGGTGTCCGACGTGGAGATGGTAAGGGCCTCGCTTGCCGCCCCTGCTCTCCTTTCCCGGGATTCATTTACGGTGGCATCTGAGTTTACCGTCATTAAAGCAGATTACGAGGCTTAATCTTCTTGACAATCTGTAGGGCCCAGCAGAGCAGTTTGGTCGGAGCTGCATATAGCTATTTCCCCGGCGGAGTCAGCCAGGGCAGCCCACGGCCCTGAGGCTGGGCACAGAGAGCAGTGCTGTCCCCGGCTGAGGGCATCAATGGCACGTTAAAGATGCCTCTCTAACCTCCTTGAGAAGATTGGAAGCATCTGTGGCCTGACACACAGGTTTGCAGTAAGGCTGCCTAGTAGGCAACAACCTAATGAGCAGCGGCAGGGGAATGGTTCTGTTTCTGAGACAGCTGCCCGTTGTCATGCTGGGTGTCCCCGAATTCAGGAGCTGTGGACTTGGGTGAGCACCGTCAGTTACAGCAGCAGCCTCAGGAAAAACTCAGCCCATCAGGGTGAGGATGGCATTGCTGTTCTCATTCTGGAAAGTGACTTTGATCACTACTTTTGCCCTTGTACACTTCCTCCGACACCTGCTCACCTGAGCCTGCAGTCCCCTTTGCAGGCAAAGAACTGTGGGCCCCCAAATACAACCAAAAATTTTTCCACCTCTCTTCATCAGTCAGTCTAAGAGAAGACATAACTTTGCCTTCATACACGTTTGCCTCCAGCCAAGGTTTAGCTCTGTTTCCTAAGCAACTTCTGTAGAGAACTCCTTTCTGAAGGCTTGTGAGATTACTGAGAATCCTTAAGAAAAATAACTTAGATTAATATTCAATTGACACCATAGTCCTGCTGTGATGTAACTCACTCACATCAGTCCTTTCTTTGTGAATATCCAAAGTAAGCTGCAGAAGAGGCACCAAGTGTGTTTTTTTTTTTTTGTTACTGGCAATTAAACATTGATAGTTTGTTTTTGCACTTTGAGAGGTTACTAAATTAGATATTTGCATTTCCTTAGACCTCAGTCACTTTGAATTAAATTATTATCTCTGAGAGGACTATTGAGATTTTTTTTTCCTTACTCATAGCAGATCGTCTGTTCACTGTTAACTATTCTTTAAATAATAAGAAAATAGGATATTTTTTCATAGACTTTTTTTTTTAGTAACTACTTAATGGTAATAGGATTAAGTGTTTAAGCAGTAAATTAAATGCCATTGACATGTGTGTTAGGTTCTTCCATGGAGTTGCTGTATACACAACTTGGGACTGTTGGCCTCCACACATAAGTCATCCACCTATTTATTTTCCATAGGAATACACAATGGATGTCTTCTTTCGGCAGACATGGACTGATGAGAGGTTGAAGTTTAGTGGGCCAACTGAAATTTTGAGACTGAACAATTTAATGGTCAGTAAAATTTGGACACCAGACACTTTTTTTAGAAATGGAAAAAAATCAATTGCTCATAATATGACAACTCCTAACAAACTTTTCAGAATTATGCAGAATGGAACTATTCTTTACACAATGAGGTGAGAGCCTATTATTCTGCGTTTGGTTGACCTTTATTTTTGATTCTTTCAGCAGTATTCCTATATGCCATTTTTTTTTCATTGTCCTCTACCGTAATGTATTCTAGACTAACCATTAATGCTGATTGTCCTATGCGGCTGGTGAACTTCCCTATGGATGGGCATGCTTGTCCATTGAAGTTTGGAAGCTGTAAGTTTACCTTTCAGTTTTTTATAATAATACATTTGGTCTACATGTATTTGAGAAGTTCAGAAGTGAGATCCTAGGACACTACTTAATGACATGGCTGGAATTTTTTGTTGTATTTTTATACTAGAATCTTACTTTCTCCTCAGAGACTCAGACCATTTATAAGCACATGGATTTATTCATTGAATGGTGACTCTTGAAGCGTATTTTATTGTTTATTGCTATTCTTACACATGTAGTAGTCAAAGTGGGTCCTTCAACAAGTCATAAAATCTGTGGTACATTTGTTAGATTAATTCTAGTTTTGTGAAATAAATATATTTAGTTGATCTGTGGTAATCAATGTGGTTTATAGCAAATTAAGAAACTAAACCTAGCACCTATCAGGTCCCACCTCAGCCATTCTCTTATTGTGGATTTTTTTGCATTTTGTCATTAAAGAGGTTAGGAACTTGCTCGAGCAGGATGCATGTTTCTATAGGTATCGGAGCTATAAAAGCTATCATGCTACTTATTTTTTCAATTGCTTATACATTATGTAATTAATAATAGTAATTTTCCCATCTTCAACTCAGATGCTTATCCAAAAAGTGAAATAATTTATACATGGAAAAAAGGACCCCTGCATTCAGTAGAAGTTCCACAAGAGTCTTCCAGTCTCCTTCAGTATGACCTCATAGGACAAACTGTATCTAGTGAAACAATTAAATCTAACACAGGTAAGATGTATCCATGTGGGAACTACTGACATTATAAAACACATTATGAAAATAAATTACAGTTTTTTTCCATATAGAATTGAAATTAGTTGAATTATCTTTTGCCATTTTAAAAAAACTATAATCCTTGGAAACAATCTAACCATTGCCTCTTAAAAGATAGCCTTTCAATACAGTCCCTTTAAGGACACATTTTTTCATGCAATTCTTAAGAATTCCCCGTGCCTCCCCACCCCAGTAAAAACAACACATAAAATGAATATCATTCTCCTCTGTTTCCATAAGGTCACTTTACCTTTTTTTAATCCGCTTATTTTTATTATGCACTAGGAGGCTTGAAAGTGCTTTCCTCAGACCATAATATATTGGGTTCAAGCCAATAAGGTTTACTCATATGTTGCCAAAATAATGCTGACATACTTGTCTCTTAACAGGTGAATATGTTATCATGACAGTTTATTTCCACTTGCAAAGGAAGATGGGCTACTTCATGATACAGATATATACTCCATGCATTATGACAGTCATTCTTTCTCAGGTGTCCTTCTGGATTAACAAGGAGTCTGTTCCAGCCAGAACAGTTTTTGGTATGCTGTGTTGAGGTCTTTGAACAGCTCAGCATCACATACACCATTCATTCATTACTTTCATTGCTTGTTTGTTTTAGGCGAATATTCACTTCAGCTGCTCTATTTCCATCTTCAAAGGAAAATAGGCTACTATCTCATTCAGACATACATTCCATGCATCATGACTGTAGTCCTGTCTCAAGTTGTGTTTTGGATCAACAAAGAATCTGTTCCAGCAAGAACCGTGGCTGGTATTTGTGTTTTGTTCTTTTATCGTTCACTTCATTCACTGTATTGAATCCATTGTATCAAACAGCTACTGTAATCCAGCAGGGACTGCAAAAGACAGCTTGTAGGTTTCAGGGAGCAAAAGTAAATACTGAAATTAAACCAAATAATACTCAGTCTGCCCCGAGGGTCAAAATTCTTTATCCGGAATGTTTGGTCAGCCAGACTTGTTTGTGACGTTTTTCTGCCCCTCAATACTTTTTCGTATGCAGGAAGGGACAGTTTCAGGGTAAATGTCAGCCTCTCCATTTTTTAAAGAGGTGTTTTTCTATTGATTTTTTCTCTTGTGAAACCAATCCGAGTTAAAGCTTTAAAAAAAATAATCACTCAGGATGGAATTAATCTCATCTGACGTAAGGTACCTCATCTAGCACTCATTCTGAAGTGCTCTCTTCCCCTTGTCTACAAAGGTATCTAAACAACTAGCGAGGGCTTTGGATGGATAGAGTTAGGTGAGATGAGTCCAGTCCCTAGCACTGGTTGGGGCTGTAATATAAGAGGTGTGTCCATACTGATGGCAGAGCCCTTTTTTTTTTTTTTTTTAGAATTAATGCTCCCAGAGCTGTGAGTTTTGTATCCTTAATTTTTAGTGTGTGCTCTGCAATTACAATTGACACAGAGCCCCTCACTTCAATATTGATAGGCTCTGAAACTGCACTCAGTTTTAAAGGGTAAAATTTCACTGACTGGATTGTTGTTTCTAGAAAAACAATCAAAAATACTAAGCAAAATTAATAAAACTTGTCAAAAACTTCATTAATCCACTACCCATACGTACATGTTTTGCAATCCTATCTATTTTCTCTTAACCTGGTATTTCCATACAAAAAAATTCCTTTTGTGAGACTCGTCTTCAGTAACAAAAAGGCAGCTTAGGTTCCCTAGGCATAAATGATGCAAGTCTCATAATTCAAAATGAGTCTATAATTGTAATTAGCAGGCTACAGAATTTGTATAACTTGATTTCAGTCAATTGGTGTTTGCTACCTGCATGGAATGGTATTCAAAAAAGCATTGCAAACTTAGGAGTGCTAAGTGAACACAGCTTCTTCAGGTGCCTCTGAAGGGAGATCAACACGTTTGTTCTTTAAATCCCCATTGGGAACTGGGATGCAGGTTGGCATCATTAAGCACTTACAAGTAGTATTTTCTGGCAATTGAAATCTCTTTAAGTGCTTTAAAATAAAATATCAGGCAATAGATTTTCAAGAATATTTATTGCAATTGAAGCATAAAATACATACAGGAGATTTGCACCCCAAATATGATGCTACCTGATTTGGCTTTGTATTGCATCTCTTGACTATAGTTACATCATCTACATTTTGAGTAAAACATATTTGCTACCTAGAGGGTAGTGGAAGTCAATTCTATATGCCTGAAGTAATGTGCAAATAAGTCTTTATCTGATTCAGTAATAATTACATAGAGACCTCAAACCCTGGAATAACAACTCTTAGATGTCGTACTGAAGAGTAAATACAGAATTAGAAACAGAACATATTTTATGAAAATAGTAACATAGATATCTTTCTCAGTATTGTGGAAAGTTATTCATGTTGACATTTTAAAAGAATATTTCTATCCTTATTCCATTCTTGTTTCTCCCAGGCACATTCTGAATTTATAGTCCTTACTAATTCAAAATCCCATAGATTCTGAATACCTTCATCTAAGGAAAAGAGGGCGAATTCCTTATGACTAAAAAGACTTTCAGGCCCCAGTAAAACAGAAAAGGTTTAAAATGGAGCAGGTTTAAAATGGAGAAGTCTCCTTTCTTCATCATATTGCAAATACTTGAATTAGAAATAAAACTGAAAATTTGTAAGTTCCCAAACTGTAAGTTTGAGAGAAGAGAAATTAATAGTGGAAGAATAACAATGGTGTGCCCAAACCAATTTCTCAGAACAAATTCATTTAGCAAATCTATTTACCTCCAAAATGGATGCAGGTAATATTACAATAAATTCTCTGAATGTTTGCAAAGATAAATTAATGGTCATAAGCAGCTACTCTTTACAGACCTGCAAGTGAAAAATGGGAGACAGAAATACTTGAAGAGGCACTCTTGCATTCTTTATAATTGTGTCATTGGAAAGAACAGCGGATTGCTAGCACGAAATTCCTTATTTTATTTGGAGCTATGTGCGTAGCTATGCGTATACATATAGATGTATTTATGGGTGAAGTTTTATGAAGCATGGCATTATCAGAAATAACTTAGAATATGGTTATTGGAGGCCTAATTTTAACTGTGGTTTGAATCCATATAGCAATGGCTTATTACTTCACATTTTTATATGCCTTTATCTAATATTTTTTATTCCTGGCAAAAAAAATCATCTGTTATGTTGCAGAACGATAGCAGTCAGCTTCTGCCTTCCTGGCAGGTCACCCTGAGAATTTTAAATTAATATCTAGTCATTAAGTTTAATTTATAATAAAGTCTCAGGGAAAGGTGTTTTGGGTTGAGGTTTTTTGTTTTGTTTTGTTTTTAATAAGATAACATATTTCAGTATTTGCATTATGTAACGGATTCTTCAAAACTTACCAAGAAGTGTACAGAGTGGAAAGACAAGGGTAAACAATCATCGGTTACACAGTTTACCAACTGTGATTTGGCATTCAGTTTGATAAAGTAGTTTTCCACAGTGCAGAGCGTTTCATCAATATTCACTCCACATTGAGAGAAGTCTTATCTATCTCTGTAATAGAATAGGAGTCCTATTCCTAAGTTT